AAGTATTTTCAACACGCTAAAGTTATTAAATAAATAAAGTATATAACAAAAAATTAACGATTTTATTTTTGCAATTTCTATTGAATAAGATTTTCAATATATTGTGTTAAAATTACTATCAAAACAAACTGAAAATTAAGAAACTATTCTTCAAAATGGATCTGGGGTTTTTTTAAAAGGAGCAGAAAATATTCGAGGAAAATTCATGGAAGTGGAAGAGCTTCGCAAATTTGATGCAAATTTAAAAAGAGATAATGAAACATATAAACAATTAGTAATTATAATATGTGGAGTACTATTTTTCTAACATTTTTAATATTCTTTTCCTTTTTTATTCTTGCATTTATCTTGAAATTCTTAGTCTTTTCTTTTAAAAAACTCTTTAATCTTTAAACTACTAAACATAAAATTTCTGAAAAGTTTTCTACATGTTAAAATCTGTTTTGGAATTATCCATTAAGTACGTAAGCTGGTATCGGGAAGGGTATCACCCAAAAGCATACAAGAAGCGGGTATTTAAGGCAGCATGTTTGTACTATTTTTTTAAGAACTTACATAAAACTTTTTTTTTTTATTTAAAAAAAGGCAAAAATTTTTATCTATTGTTGTTTTTTTTTGTGTGTTTTTTTTGCGTCTTTTCTCTTTACATTGTTTCCCATTCCATTTCGACAACGTATCATTCAATTTTGACATAGTATCTGTACAATTCGACAATGTTTTATTCAATTTTGACGTCGTTGCATTTGATTTCCACTATTATGCATTCAATTTCGACAGCGCTAATAATACTTAAATTAATATACAAATAAAGCAGTTAGATTCTTTCTAAATTCATTTAGATAATATAATTTTTTAGTTCGGATACAAACTAAAATCTAAACAAAAAAGTTATCGTATATAAAGTTTGTAATTGCAAAACTCTCTTATAAAAATAAAAAAATTTCAAAAGTAAGTTTATTCATCAATAACTGGTTCTCTTCTTGAACACGAAATAAATTAATACAGCTTGTGCTAGTAATATTCAATGTACCGTTTTGTATATTTTCAAGCAGTTCCTCCTCAGTCCTAGACGAACATCTTCTGATAAACTGTTTCCATTCAGAAAACATATTTTAATACGGTTTAAAAATGGGGAATATGGAGGTAAATATATCAAAGAATGCTCAGCACGTACTATTTAATTATGAAAATCAGCAGTTTTATGAAGAAAACATTGTCTAAAATTACGATAACTCCAACAACTTCATTAATAGCTAATTGTGCTAATACTAAACGAATAATTCCTAAAAAGTTTTCTGTATTAAATGCTTTTGTATGTTCATATTTCAAAGTTCCGTTTTTGTTCATTGCACAACAGACTAAAATATTTCTTGACCGTATATTGGTCACTGTTTGTGTGGCCCTCTTTCCAGCTAAAGAACGTCATCTTCTAACTCGCATTAAAGACTAAATCCTACTTCATCAATAAAGAATATTTTATTCTCATTCATAGAAGACAAAATGTTCATGAATCTTTTTGCATAAGAAGCTCTTTCATAAATAAAGTCTTCCGAATTTCTTCTCTCTGGAATATTGTGAACACGTTTCAAAGTATAATTTTAAAAATATCTTTAAAAGATAATGGAAAGGTAATTTTTTATATTTATTCACTTACCTTATTTAGTTTACTTTATTTACCAGAGTTTTGCCACAGCTATAAGTCATTATACAAAAAATAACTTGATTTTATAGTCTAATGTCATACTAAGTGATGTTGTACTTCAACATGAAAGGGACCAATCGTCGAGATAAGACAAAGAATATACAGTATCAGAAAAACAAAGTTTTTAAAAATTACAAATTCTTGATCTTATCATAGGTAAACCAGGGTTGTTATTTAATAATTGTTAATATAGGTAAGTAGTTATTATTTTTTGACGTTGTCATATTTCTTATTTCATTATTACATTTACTATGCATTTATATTTAGCTAGTGTTATGGCAACAAAGGAGAGAAACAGCATAACATTTGCAGAAAAAAAATGGGAAGTTCGAAAGATTTTAAGATACGCACCTGACAAAGTCAATGTTGAAGAAGGTATGCATCCTATAGAATTAATGTTCGCACCACCAATATCCTTGCTACATGTAGTAACTGCAGTGGTACACTGTACACTGCAGTGGTACACTGACAAATAATTTTTTTTTTTTTTTTTAAATAGAAAAACTATTAAAAGCATAGTTTAATAATTATGAACGGCTAGTAAAACTTTTTAAAATAATATTAAGTCTCGTCAAAAGTAAAATGTATAAAGTAACCTTAAACTGTTACTTAAATGGCAAGCAACAAGTCGCTTTTTATCTGAATGGGAACCATTCTTTTCCTTTAGGTTGAGGAAATGCTTAATAACATCAGCCTGGGTTGGAAGTTGAACTGAGGGCAAGTATTCCTTTCCACGACTAATTTCTCTTCTCTTTATATTTTGTATTTGATCTTCAGTATTTTCTAAAAGGATTTCCTCTGTATTCGAGGTTCTTATTTTTAGTTATAAAGTCCAACTAAACTAAAAAATTGAATATTTGAATTAACTCATGAAAGTTTTGATAAAAAAAGATAAACAGTTTATGACTTACCAGCTTTATTTAGAAAAGTTAAAAAAAAAAAACATTAAAAAAAAAGATTAAAAAAGATTAAAAACAATTGAATAAAACATGCATAAAAAACTTCAGTGCTTATAGGTACCGATTTGTAAGAATATTATCAATGCTTCTTAAACGACACAGTATTTAAATTGTTTTCATAATATTTGCGAATCTTGTACGTGTACTCAAAAAAAGCCTGTGAGCAAAAGTATTATTTATATAGCATCATAAAATATTTAATTGCATTTAAATTAAAGTTAGGGCTCTGAACCCTCAACTCGTTTTTAAAGACAAGATATGCAAATATATATTTTAAATTTAAAACGCATACTCTTAAGGACCTTGCTTAAACATTTTTAGGACTCAACAATTTGCGCCAAAATCAGCACTTTTTTGCGGTTGATTGATTTTCCTCTGATTTTTTTGCTTTAATTTGAAAAATCATTTAGCGCAAGGTGATCCAACAGAGATAAGAACTCAATTTTTTTTTTACTAGTCAAGTAGACATCGTTAACTATAAAACATGTCGTATACATGTCTGTAGCACAATCAGGTCTTTAGATATTTGATGACTAGTAAGATATTCAAATTTGAAAAAAATGGCGTAAGTTGGCGCAAGGTTTTAAAATCATTTTTTTGAAAAAGAAAAGTTATATTTTGAAATAAATTGTAATTACCCATCTTTTAAGTCTGCATACATGTTAAAATCAAAATTGATGAAAAATGAATATATATATATATATATATATATATATATATATATATATATATATATATATATATATATATATATATATATATATATATATATATATATATATACATATATATATACATATATATATATGAGTTTTTTGATATGAGCGTCTTTTATTCACTTTTTGCGCACATATATTTTTCATTTATTTTTAAAGAATTCTGGTAAAATAAAAGTAAAATATAAAATTTGCCTAGACTGTTCTGTTCGTAATTTAGAAATGTCTAATTTGCTTAACGAAGTGCACCAACTAGAAGGTAAACCATAGGACTTCGCACCCCAGTGGGCACACGACGGAAAAAAAACGTCTTATGTACGTTCAGTTCACGTCCGCTCGATTTATTCACAATATGAACTATAATAAGACGTCTTATGAACGTCTTTTTCTTGTCCGTTCCGAAAATAAGAAAATTTATCACTTTCAGTTTTGAAAAACCTTTTTATTATGTCTAATGACGCGAAATGTCATTATTAAAATTTTTAAAAGGTGTTTTAATAAAGGCGCTATTATTAAAAGGTGTTTTAATAATGGCGATTCTCGTATGAAGGGATTCCAATTACTTTTTAGATAATTGTTAGATAACATATGTATTTTATATTTATATATGTATATAGACAAATAAAATATACACAGATTGTTTATATAGTCAAGAAAAACTATATTTAACTTTATATGACATATATATGTCGTGACATGCTTTTTTTTACTTTATATGTCATTAAATTTTCTTTATTTTTATATTTTTTATATTTTTTATGTCATATTAGATATATATAAAAATAATTAAATTTAGATTGATTAACTAGTTTTTTTATTATATTACTGTATGAGTATAAAATCCTATTTTATTTACTGTCATTTATATTTTAAGTATTATAGTTTTTTTTTTTAAACGTAATACTTAAAATATAAATGTCAGGAAATAAAATTATGAAATTAAAATTTTATACTCATACAGTAATTATATAATAAAAATCAGTCAATAAATCTAAATTTTATTATTTTTATATATATGTAATTTTATTTTCTTTGAAGTTAACAATCAATAACCTAATCCTTGTTACTATATTATAGATGCATGTAACTATATTATATATCATAATATGATATATATGACAATATGATATATATGATATATATGAATCGATTCATATATAATATAGTAACATACATATATAATATAGTAACAAGATATTACAGTAAAAAAAATTATATGTGTACTACGAATAATAATCGAAAGTACTTTGAGTTACAGAAAAGTTTGAGTTATCTGAGGTTTGAGATATTGGGAGTTTACTGTATTCTTATGATTATTATTTTTACATTCCATTTACATAGAATTTTGAATTTTATGCTGAAAGTTGCACTTTTTTATATATATATTTTTTTTAAATTTTAATTTATTATACTTTTGTAACATTTAATAAAAATACGTATGATAAAGCTTTATTAATATATCAATGATTTAACATTTAGTGCACAAACAAATTAAATAATACATTTATTAATGTTAGAATATGATTGTTTTATATTTTAATGGTGAAAAAATCAAATTTGACATGATATTTTTAGTAGAAAATTTTATAAGGATTTCTTGAAAAAATAATGACAAAATTGATAGTTTTTTGTAACTTCAAATGTTATAACTTTTCCAATTCTTATCAAAATGTATACAATTTGGTTTAAAAAAAAAGATATGAAAAAGACAAGGCACCTACAACACCTAGTAATATGTTACGAATGTATATTTGTTAATGAAAGTTTTGTGTTTTTTATTGAAATTTTAGATTTTTATTTGCAATTTTTTATATTCTAACAGACAATCATTAAATATGATAGATAAACAAGTAGAAAAGAATATAGTAATACATAGTACTCTCCTCATTTGTAATACTCTTCTTAAAAGTAAATCAAATTGTATAAACCGGATATGATGATTAAATGTTGAATCGGCATGGTTTTATCTGTCTACTTTGCTTTTTCAATTTGGTTGCAAGCTTCAACCTAATTCTTGATTTAGAACTATGATTTTGAACTAAAACATTGCCGTTGTTGAAAAAAATACTATTTATTCTTAACTGTATTTTTTTTTGAGGCTTCAGTTATCAAATGTTGGTGGTAATTTTTGTTATGCCACTGTGAAAGCGTCGATTGTTAAGTATGTGTTTACTTTTTGTAAATTATTTGCTATGCAAATAATTTTTAATAATAATTACTTAACTATTAACTAATAAGTTTTGTTTTGTTAAATTATTTATTATGGTTATTGTTTATCTGTATACATTACACTAAAGAGTATATATAAATGAATGTGCAATAGCATAGGTTGTATTTTTTTATGTATTCACATAAGACATTTTCAAGCACATTGTCCAATCTGCAAACTTAATTATTTTTATCCTTATGTCGAATGACAACGTTTTGCCCTTTCCCATCCCTGAATGTGAAGGAAATGAGTTCTGTAAATAACAGCATTTTATTTAATATTAAATTAAATTTCATCAACAGGTTTGTAACTTTATTAGTATTATAGCTTTCAAAAGTTTTGACCATATAAAGATTAGTTTCCCTCCTTAAATGAGGAGGTTGCAAATTGTACATCAGCATAATTTTTGAATGCTAATATGAACTCATTTCCCTCATATTCAGATATAGGAGAGCAAAATTTTTTGGGTATTTTAGTTTTCAAGCACCTATGTATTATTTATAACAAATAATAGATTATAATTTATTTTTTTCATTGTCATTCCAGGTAGACATAAAAAGTTTGAAGTATGCACAAAGCCTGAAAGTGTCAAATATGGAACCTAAAAAAACCTGCCTTTGCCACTGACTGTATAAAGGTTTTTTAAGGTAAGAGCTTAAATAAATTAACAGAAAAAAAATATTATAAGTTATACATTTTTTTATACTAAAATAGAATAAAAATATATATTTGTAGTTTCAGTTTTTATTGTCACAAATATTAAATATTTGTGACACAGAATACAGATATTGATGTCTGTCTTTTTTATTGTAAGAAAATGATGTAAAAAAGTGCTGTCAGATGCTAAGCTCTATTATTTTCAGTTCACTAAATCTTGTATCTTTTTTCAGCATAAGGTCATCGCAAATGGCGGACGTATTTTTCTAACGGTAAAAAATAAATAAAAGAAAAAGGATAAGATAAACAGTTAATTTTTTATTTTCAATTCGCTAAAAAGATTTTTTTAATTGTTATAAATCTGATTTAAATCAAACGCTTAAAAATAAAAATCAAATAAAAAAAGAACTTCGAATTATTAAAAAAAAGGAACACTTTAAACAAAAAAAAGAACGAAGAAAAAAAAAAGAAAGAAAGAAAGAAAGAGAAAGTAAACAAAGAAGAAGAAAAAAGAAGAAATAAGTAAACAAACAAGAAAGAGAACAACAAAACCAATTTTAAAGAGAATAAAGAAGATTGGTTATTCATTTATTTTCGCGATTTAATTTGTAATTATTATTTTTAATATAATTATTTAACTTATTTGTTATTTTATTATTATTATTATTTTTTTTTTTTCACTTTTTCACATATTTTTTAATTATTTATTTATCTTTAATTATATTTATTAGTTCTAGTTAACAAGGTTTTCCCGTTATCTATCTAAGTTGTATTATCACATATTATTTATTTATTTATCATTAGATTATCTATTTAGGAAGTTTTGTTATATATTTTATTATATTTAAATTATTTTACTATATATAATTTTATTATATTTTTTGATCATTATTATAACTTTATCATTATTATATATTCTTATACATTTATTTATTATGGATTTATATTATTTTAATTTTATCAATTGTTTATTATTTTATTTTAGTTATTAATTAATACTATAAATCTATACTCTTTATTTATAATTTCGATAATAATTAACTACGTACTACTACTGATTACTGTTGCTATTTATCCATTTACTGTTTATTGTTTGATTATTTTCTCTTTTAATTTTCTATATTTTTTGTTCTATAAACGGCTTTACCATCTATATCATGAAAATTTGTCGCCATTGCCAGTTTTGCAATAAAAAAATAAAAGATAATCACAAAGCCATCCAATGCGATAGTTGCTCCCTTTGGATTCATGCAAAATGTATTCCAGTTGACAAACATGCTTACAATATGCTTTCCAATGACTCTTCTGAATGGTTTTGCCCTAACTGCATATCAAACAATATGCCATTTGGCGTACTCTCCGATCTGGAACTTAAATCAACTCTTTCCTGCGAGAATCCTTCTAATAAAATAAAATTTCATGAACCCCCTGATTATCTCAAAAACTTATTTAAAACCATGAACAATGTTTTTAATCCAACAACTAAATGCAAATACCTTGACGTTAATGAACTAAATAAATCTATTAATCCTGGTACAGAAATTTATCTTCATCTAAATATTTCTTCTCTTCCATTTCACATAAATGATCTCTCCAGCTTTGTTGGTACCATTAATACTCCTTCCATGGTAATAGGAATTACTGAGTCTAACTTATATGCAAATGATTCTAATAAAACTGACATTACCATACAAGGATATAACATTGAGCACTGTCCAACAGAATCAAAAAAAGGTGGTGCACTTCCTTACTTAAATTCAAATCTTAATTACATAGTTCGTAGTGATCTCCAAATTTATGCCACCAAATTTCTAGAGTCTATATTTGTTGAAGTTATATATCCACTTAAAAGTAATACCAATTTTGGATGTATATATCGGCATCCCTCTTTAAACATCACTGAATTTTTATCTATCCATTTTAATCCTCTCCTTGAAAAGTTAAGTCATAAAGCAAAAAATATTGTACTAACAGGCAATTTCAACATAGATTTATTGAATTATAGAGAATCACAAGTCATTTCTAATTATTTTAAATCTTTGTGCTCTCATTCCTTATTTCCAACCATAATTCTTTCAACACGTGTAACTGCAAAAACTAAAACCCTTATTGATAACATCTTCATGAATTCATTTCCTACTGATATAGTCTCTGGTAATCTTACAATTTCAATCTCTGACCACATGGCACAATTTGTCTGTATTCCTAATAACCCACCCATTAAAAAAAAAGTAAAAATGTTTAAAAGAAGCTTTAAAAAATTTGATTCTGATTCTTTTATCCAAGAAATTTCCGATATTAACTGGGAGCTTCTCATAAAAGAAGATGATAACATAAACGAATCTATATACTTTTTTCTTAACACATTCAAAAAAATATTAGACCGATATGCTCCCTACAAAGAACTAACAAAAAAACAAATTAAACTTTAATCTAATCCCTGGATAACTTCTAGTATTCTTAAATCAATTTCTAATAAAAACATACTCTATAAAAAATTTACTAGATCAAAAAATGTGAATACAAAAAATATATTATTTACTAAATTTAAGTTATACAGAAATAAAATTAGTAACTTGTTAAGGTTTTTTAAAAAATTGTACTACGCATCTTTTTTCAATAACAACATCAATAATGTAAAAAATACCTGGAAAGGAATTAAGGAAATCATAAACATCAAACCATCTACTTCTACTAAGTCTTTTAACCTCAAAATCAATGAAAATGTCATCTCAGATTATACCAGTGTTGCTAATATATTTAACAATTATTTTACGACTATTCAAGACGAACTACTTAAAAATACTGTTCCCTCTAAATGTGCTTTTGGCAACTTTCTTAAAATACCTAGTATTAATTCTTTTTTCATTGAGCCCGTGACTGAAAATGAGGTGGCGAATCTCATAAAAGATACTCCTAAAAATAATAAAAGCCTTGGTCCCAATAGTCTGCCAACATTTTTACTAAAGCTGGTATCTCACATAATCTCCAAACCTCTATCTACTACGATATATAATTCTTTCAAAAACGGTATTTTTCCAAAAGCTTTTAAGGTAGCCAAAGTAATTCCTATACACAAAATGGGTTTTTATCTAGACTACTCTAATTATCGACCTATTTCACTTCTTTCTAACTTAAGTAAACTATTTGAAAAAGCAATGTTCCAAAGAATCGAGCATTTTTTGGAAAAACATAAATTTATTTACAAACACCAGTATGGTTTTCGCAACAAACACTCAACAACTCATTCATTAATAGAAATAACAGAGAAAATTAGACAAGCAATCGATAATAAACACTTTACGTGTGGAGTGTTTATTGACATAAGAAAAGCATTTAATACAGTTGAGCACACAATCCTCTTAGAAAAATTGAAACACTACGGTATAAGAGGTATTCTTTTTCTCTGGTTTTCCTCTTATCTTTGTAATAGAACACAATTTGTTTCAATTAATGGTATCAACTCAGGACTAGCTAAATCTTTTAATGGTGTTCCGCAAGGCTCGGTTTTAGGTCCATTACTTTTTCTTGTTTTTATCAATGATTTAAATGTTTCTCTTAAATTTTCTACTGCTTATCACTTCGCGGATGACACCAACTTACTCCTAATTAATAAATCACTTAAAAAACTTAACAAAAATATGAATCACGATCTAGCTAATGTTGTTCAATGGCTCCGCTTCAATAAATTATCTCTTAACTCTAAAAAAACGGAAATTATTATATTTAAATCTGCTAAAACAAAAAAAAATAAGCAATTAAATTTCAGATTAAGTGGCCAAAAAATAAATCCAGTTAACTCTATTAAATATCTTGGAATCAAAATAGACTCTAATTTATCTTTTGCATCGCATCTTCAAGACTTAGCATTGAAATTAAGCAGATCAAATGGTATTTTAGCTAAAATTCGTCATTTTGTTAACCATGAAACTTTGCTTAATTTATATCATGCTATTTTTCACTCTCATCTCAGATATGTTTGCCAAGATTGGGGACAATCTAAGCAGCTTGCTTTTTTAAGACTAACTTATCTCCAAAACAAAGCTCTAAAATTAATTTACTTTCAATATACTAATTCGAACTGTAGCATACTCTATTTTTTATCTAAAGTCGATAAATTGTGTGACCTTATTCAGCTATCAAATTGTCTATTTGTTTGGAACCAAAATCATAATAACTTACCTCTTACATTTATCAACTTTTTTAGTTATAGGAAAAACTGTAAATATGTTCTACGATCTGCTCTCAACTTTAAATTATATGTACCTAAATACCGAACTGTTCATTACGGCTACGAATCCATACAACATAAAAGCATACAAACCTGGAACAATCTCCCTTCCCAATTAAAATCTTTTAAATCATACTCAAAATTTAAAACTGCTCTCTTTAACCATTTTTTAGAAAAATACTCTTTATAAATCTTATACCTTTTTACAACTTATTATTTATAACGCAGTGCTTCTATTCATCTTTTAATTTTTCTCATTTCTATCGTGATATATTACTAATTTTAATACCAATTATTAAATTTTTTATTATAAACTGATATGTTTCTATAGTATTCCTTATCACTGTTGTTGCTATTATTACTATATTTTATATCATAATGAATATTATTGTAATTGTTATTATTGTTGTTGTTATTATTTTTGTTGTTATTATTGCTATTATTTTTGTTATTATTATTATTATTATTATTATTATTATTATTATTATTAAAAAATTTAATTAAATTTATTTAATTTTACAGTTTTTTTTTTATTTTAGTTTAACTATTATTATTGATATTAGCACAAAAATCGATAACCACAAAATTTATGGCCTGTTCATTCAAATTTTTTTTCAAACTGTCATTTCATCTAAAATAAATGAACACACAACACGTTGAACAACTTTCTGAGCCTCTTTTACTTTGCTATGAAGAGTAACTAAAACCTCTTCACAAAATTCAGGGTAACAGTTAACACTTTCATACCATTTTTGTATAATTCCTGGATGAAGAAGTGCATTAGTAAATGTTT